GNTGAGAATGTGTATGCTGGGGTGGGGCGTACTCATCTTGAGATAGAATTTGCTCCGACGACGCCCCTTGTGTGACCGACTGACCCCCAACAGTCAGAGAAGCGTACAGAAGTTCCTGGGCTTGCTGGAACTGTGACTGCGCTCGGGGAGGTAGCGTATCAATGTCTTCAATGTTCGTTAGCACGTTATACGCCACCTCCGTACCCGAAAACTGCAAAATTAAATTCAAATAACTATCAAATATTAAAAATAATAATAATAATAATAATAATTACTTCATTGAAGACAGTTACCTGACACTTCTCCCGGTCGGCATATGGCTGAAACCCGCCGTTCTGTGAGATCGCCGCGTAGTTGTTGGGGTCATTGAATAGTCTCACTGTCCTACTGTGAAACCAATCAATGTACCCATCTGCCGGCTGCAGGAAGGGATCCACCGGGACATCTTGGAGGACGTTCTGATCTTTCTCTTCGGTCCAGATCCTCCCAAGATCAGCATGGAAGACCTGCCAATCGGTGTATGCCCTCGCAGTCATGCCCTGGCCCTTGTGGCGGGTGTCCCAGTCGGCCAGACTAGTAATGAGCGGCTGTTGGGGGATGGGCTGGTGGCACCGAAACTGGCGGAGCACCCTATCAGTCTCGTGGGGTTCTGCGATGTTCCAGCAGAAGATCCACCCCTTGTACATCCAGAGATGTCGGTCTTGTGTGCACACTTCAGGGAGCCGACCCTCGTCTATGTACGTCTGATAGGGTACCCAATCGAACTGTGAAAAAAAACATTTATAGAATTATTAATAAATTTAATAAAAAATAGAATTAAAAAAATAATAATTGTTCATTATTATGACCTAAGAAACTTACATCAGTCTCTCTCAGGCCACTCAGCTGATCTCGGATGGCAGCCGTGCCCGTCACCAGGTGTCTCATGTCCCTCGATCCCACCCACCTTAAAAATCACAGAAAAAGTTTTATTTGTAATTACAAATTTTGATAATTGAAATAACTTAAGTGTTGAATATAAATAAATGTTATTATTACCTTGCACCCAAGGGACAACCCGCCTGAAAGCCGAAATGTGTTCTTGTCATTAATGGACGAACACGAGGGATGCGTTCCCATGCCCAAACCTGCACATATGGACATATAGATTTTTTAGCACATATTATTGTAATTTACAATAAATAAAATTAATTTTCAATTAACAAGTAAATAAATTTACCTGAATCAACTGCACGCAGCTCTTGATATATTTTTCCCGCGTCTCGTAGGCGTCGCAGAGGGCTCTATATACCCCGGCCAGAAGCGCTCCACCCCAGCTGTACCCCGGAATGGCATCGATGTCATTCAACATGGACAACCAGTAGAGGTTGACTCCGTTGGCCCGATGGTCGGGGAAGAAGAAGGACCCAATACACCAGAGTATCAGAGCTCGCGCCCTCTTCTCGTACTCTGATGTAGGGAGTCCATCCTCCAGAGGGCGCTTGCACTCCTCTTCCAGACTACTAAAATACAGACACTGGCCATTTATGTCCCAAGTCTTGGAGACGTAGTCCTGGACCCCGTCATCCTTGAAATACGTTTATATATATATTAAACTAATTTGACTTTAATTGTACTAATTTCACTATAATTGACTTTAATTGTACTAATTTGACTTTAATTGTACTAATTCGATTTCGATTTCACTAATTCGAGTTCGATTTCACTATAATTGACTTTAATTGTACTAATTCGAGTTCGATTTCACTAATTCGAGTTCGATTTCACTATAATTGACTTTAATTGTACTAATTTGACTTTAATTGTACTAATTCGAGTTCGATTTCACTATAATTGACTTTAATTGTACTAATTCGAGTTCGATTTCACTAATTCGAGTTGGATTTCATTATAATTGACTTTAATTGTACTAATTCGAGTTCGATCTCACTAATTCGAGTTCGATTTCACTATAATTGACTTTAATTGTACTAATTTGACTTTAATTGTACTAATTCGAGTTCGATTTCACTAATTCGAGTTCGATACATTATATAAATCATCCAAATTCAAAATCATCCAAATACAAAATCGTCGAAATACAAAATCATCAAATTACAAAATCATCCAAATACAAAATATTCATCTAAAAAAATTTAGTTCCCCCAATCATCGCGGAGTCTAGTTCGATCGATGGGAGGATGCGAATACGGGCAATGGTCTGCGAAATGTAAGGGATCACCACATCTAGTGCATTGACCCCGGACGCGGCGGCGGTGCGCTCGACGATCCATTTGCATTTTAAAGCGTCTAG